CCCCCCCCCCCCCCCCCCCCCCCCCCCCCCCCCCGCTGCTAAGTTCTGGGAGAGGGAAGCCCAGAGGGTGGTTGCTCCGTGGAAACATTAGACAGAGCCGGTGGGGGCTCAGCCCTGTCGTGGGGGAGCGGGGACTTGCCTCGAGAGCCCCCATGTCCTCCTGTCCTTGGACCTCACAGCAAGATGAAAAGAAGCAAGATGACAAGGAGCATCTTCCCTGAGCTGATACTTGCCCTTGAACTCTGCACCCTCCCCTCTGCAGAGCCTCCCTTCGGGTGGATCCGTTCTCCTCCCTGCTATGCAGACGCAGAGGCCAAAACCAGAGCAATTGAGTCACTGACCCAAGGCCACAAGCCAGTGAGCCAGAAAGGCAGGATTCAGGCCCAGGCCTCCAGGCTGCAGAGTGGGCCGTCCCAGCCACTGAGCTCACCTGCTTCCCTTGAGAACCTTCGCCAACCCTGGTCTGGCGTGGGAGGCCCCGAGGGGATCTCTGACCGCTTCTGGCATCCCCACTCCAGGGTTCCGATTCGTGTCCGTGTGCTGGCCTCATTGACCGTCATGCTGGCCGTCTTCTTGCTGATGACCGTGCTAGTGAAGGTGGACACCTCGTCCTGGACCAGTGGCTTCTTTGCTGTCACCATTGTCTGCATGGCAATCCTCAGCGGCACGTCCACTGTCTTCAGTAGCACTGTCTTCGGCATGACTGGCTCCTTCCCCATGAGGAATTCTCAGGCACTGATATCAGGTGAGAGCTGGGCTCCGGGCATCGGATGAAGTCGGGCCCCCTGGGAGTCACGCGGTGGTGGTGGTGGTGGGGGGGGAGGCAGAGGGGAGCATGCAGTGGTCCTTCCAGAAAAGGAAACGACTGTTAGCTGTGTGTCCACTATCTGGTACTGAGTAACAAAGCACCCCAAAACTTAGTGGCTTCAAACACTAACGGTCATTTCTTTGGCCCACACATCTGTGATCTGGGCAGGAGTCGGCGGGGACGGCGGTGGGCTTCCCCGAGGCATGGTGCCTGCTGGGTCTCTAGAGTGAGCATCCCCGGAGACCCAGGCAGAAGCATCATTTCCTTTCATGACTTAGACGAGGAAGCCATTTAGGGCCACGTCTACCGTAGCCACGAGCCCACCTGGATTTGAGGGGAGAGGACACAGACCCACGTGTGACAGTGGGACAACATGAAAATCATCCTGTAAGGAGAGCAGGCGGGAGGAAGCCAGTTTCAGCCAATTTTGGCAAGAATGTGTGCCTACCAAGCGCCACCTCCTGGGACCGCATCCCTTCCTCCCCTTCCTCCCTGTCCCTGCGCCTTCTGTCCCCTTCCGTCTTTCCTCTTCCTTCCTCTTAGCTCCTCCCCCTTTTCTTCCTTTCTCATTTTATAGAAGACCTATGTGCCAGGGATTCACAGATGAACGAGACCCAGCCTCTCAGCAGCCGATAGATAGCCTGCCTAGCAAATAAACACCTCCATTAACCTTGAACTCTGGCATCCTTTGGGGACGCAGACGTGTGACTCGGGCCAACCCCTCTGGCTGAACTTTGATGCTGATCCTAAGCCTGGTGTCCAGGCCTCGGCAGCTCTGCTCCCTCGCTCAGATGTCCCAACAAGATAAAAAGGAGGTGGGTCAGTAAGAATCTGTGCTTTTGCAGAAGATACCATCCCTTAAGGCAGAACCAGGGGCCCAGCTGCCCTGTTCGGTGTCTGGGCACGTCCCTGTTGTGTGAGGGAATGCCGTAAGCATTTGCCCACCCGAGAAGGATTTCACGAAGAATCTGCTCTGTGTCCACTAATTAATCATGCCAGGCTGTACGTGGCAGGGATGACAAATACCCTGCACAAGTGTGCCCATGCCAGTGCCAGACATCACTAATAGATCCGCACCTTGCCTCCTGAGCCTCTGAGCCCTTCTCAACTCACCCACTAGAGGTGTTCATATCACCAGATCGGAGTTCAGACGTGAGCTCAAGTCTGTTTGCCATTTTCGCCATCAGATTAGGCTTTTGGCTGTATCCCGGGAAATCCTGGGGCCTAAAGGAAAATAAAGGAGACCCGTTGCCAGGTCTTTCTTTCTTTCTTTCTTTCTTTCTTTCTTTCTTTCTTTCTTTCTTTCTTTCTTTCCTTCCTTCTTTCTTTTTAATGTTTATTTATTATTTTTGAAAGAGAGAGAGAAAGAGAGCACAAGCCAGGGAGGGGTCAGAGAGAGAGGGAGACACAGAATCTGCAGCAGGCTCCAGGCTCCGAGCTGTCAGCACAGAGCCCTACACAGGGCTGGAACTCAGGAACCACGAGATCATGACCTGAGCTGAGCCAAAGTCGGATGCCACCCAGGAGTCCCTATTCTAAGTTTCTGGAATACAATCGATAAGCCCCTAGCAGTGCTTCAAGAAGGACCCGCCTAGCCTGAGGGAAATGGCCCTGATCGTTGGATGTAATCTCTTCTGTCACCAGAGTCTCCGAAAGGAGTCCTTGTCCCCTCCTCTCCCTCCATCCTGCAAGGGGCCTTTCAGGTACAGCTGGCCACCTGTGAATCTTCTAGAAAAGGGGACTCTCCTATGAATTTTTCAGAAAGCCCGTTTTTGAAAAAGTGGAGAATTCTGGTACACAGGCTTCAGTATTAATTACCCTGGGCCCTAAGCCAGTATCATCACTCTGTGGCGCCCCCATCGGGTGTCCCTCCCCCTGGAAAATCGGAGGTGGCCCCGTCTCCCAGAGACCCCCCACCCCCACCCCACCGGCCCCCATCGCTTTTCGTCCAGAGGAGCCCATCTGTGAATTCTGTGTGTGTTGGCATCTGAGGAACAATTCATTTGTTTTGGACTGGTGTTTTTCTTAAACCCCTCATTTGCATGTATTTCCATAACTGATGAGATAAAAGGAGGGAGTCATGAAAGATGAGCTCCCCGAGGCCTGGTTTGTTGTTGATGATAATATTGTAAATTCCCTACAAGTTGGGGAGAGAGAGGGAAATCAATAGGCAGTGATGTTAAGATCTCTTCCTCAGGGCAGCCGGGAAGTGTCTTACTGAAGTTTAGCTCCATTTCTTACAAAACACCCAGGTGGGGATTACAGCTTCTCGGAAGTTGGCTCCCTCTTGGCAAGGGGTTTACCCTGTTGTTGCCGCTTTGATGTAGGAGGGACAGGAAATGGCCGAACGCTTAACTGGGAATCGGAGAGGATTGATAGGGCGTTTCTGTGTGCCAGGCACCCTTCTGAATGCTTTATGTGTAGTAACCCTTTTTATCTTCACCACAGCCCTCTGAGGTGGGTATGAGTAGCATCCCCATTTTACAGATGAGGAAATGGAGGCACAGAGAGGTTCAGTGACTTACTGGAGGCCACGCCGCCAGAAGCGGGAGAACCGGTATTGGGCTCAGGTGTTCCGGTTCCAGAGTCTGAGCTCTTCATGACTGTGCTAGCTTTCGTTTCTTTGCAATCCTTTTAAATCCCAGTCTCTGGGGGCGCCTGGGTGGCGCAGTCGGTTAAGCGTCCGCCTTCAGCCAGGTCACGATCTCGCGGTCCGTGAGTTCGAGCCCCGCGTCAGGCTCTGGGCTGATGGCTCAGAGCCTGGAGCCTGTTTCCGATTCTGTGTCTCCCTCTCTCTCTGCCCCTCCCCCGTTCATGCTCTGTCTCTCTCTATCCCAAAAATAAATAAACGTTGAAAAAAAAAAAATTTAAATCCCAGTCTCTGGCCCACCCAGGCTAAGAAGGCTCACCCTGAGGCTAGGGAGAAAGGGTCGTCCGTCAGGGCAATGGGCTGTTCCCTGCAGAGCCACAGAGGTGTACGGGCAGAGTGTGGGCGAGGCCCTACACTGTCCCTCCCCACTCCTGCTCTGTGCAACAGTGGGCGGGAAAGTGCCCCCTGATCAGAGCTGTGTGGCAATGACAGAGCAGCCCGTGCCCACGCCGACCGGCTTGCTGTTTGCGTTTTGCACCGAAGCACCTTCCTGCCTCCTTGAGAATCCGTATCCCGATCCCCTGTTGTGGGCAGACTCATCCATTCAGCCAGGCGGTGCAACATACCCACCAGCCCTCCCGTGATGGATAGGACGAGTATTAGCCCCATTTTACAGACTGACAAGCCATCTGCCCGGGAGCCTGACACCCCACACGGTCATAGGGTGGGTGCTCAGGCCACCCGCACTCGGATCCTGGGAGAGGCCGCAGCCGGCTCTCAGCAGGGGGAGTTTTTTTATCTTGGTTCCTTTAAGCCTGAGCAGAGAGGGGCCGGGCCCGGGCCCGGGAGGGTGGACCCACGCCGACCTTCTCGTGCTTTCTACAGGAGGAGCCATGGGGGGCACCATCAGTGCCGTGGCCCTGCTGGTGGACCTGGCCGCGTCCAGCGAGGTGACGGACAGCACTCTGGCCTTCTTCCTGACCGCGGACGTGTTCCTGGGGCTGTGCGTGGGGCTCTGCCTGCTGCTGCCGCGGCTGGACTACGCCAGGTGAGGCCCGCCCGCCTGTGCCCGCGCCTTCCTCTCGGGCCCGGCTTCCGCCTTTCAGTGATGCGCTTGCGGTCTTCCGCCCTCCGAGTGGGTGTCCGCTTTGTTTTCTCTTCCTGCCCGCCGCCCCGCTGGGGTGGGAGCCTCCCCCCCCCCCCCCCCCC